AAAAAAAAAAAAAAAAAAAAAAAAAAAAAAAAAAAAAAAAATAATTCAAAATCAAGGATTTTTTTTCCACCGAAACGAGTCACCCACGGAGCCCCAGCACCCACCGGCAGCTCCCACCCCCCGGCTCCGGCGGGACCCACATTCCAGAGTCCCCGCGCCAAGGAGCCCCCAGGCTCCCGTGGGAGATGCTCCATGGCCTTTCTCCCACCTCCCTGCCCCTGCTCCCTGCCCCTTCTCCCACCTCCCGGCTCCTCGCCCCTTTTCCCAGCTTGCCCCTTCTCCCTGCCCCTTCTCCCTGCCCCTTTTCCCTTCTCCTTGCCCCGTCTCCCAGCTCCCGGCTCCTTCCCTTCTCCCTGCCCCTTTCTCCCAGCTCCAACACGGCTCGGGCAGGACCCCGGGGTGGGTGGAAGGACAAGAGGGGGGAGGCAGAGTGACCCCAAAATGCTGGACCGTGCCGTGCCCGGCTGGCTTTGCCGGCCCAGCATCCCAAAGGATTCGCTGGCCGAGCATCCCACAGGATTTGCCGAGGATCCCGCAGCGGGGGCCGGGAAGGGAGGGATGTTGGAGCCCCTGAGGATGCCGGGGGGGTCCGGCAGCCCCTGCCCGGGTGGCGGAGGAGGAGGAAGAGGAGGAGGAGGGGGAATCCCCGGCTCCGCTCCCGCTCCGTGCCCGCGGCCCCGGGATAGCACCATGCTCTGGTCTCTAACACAGAGGAAGAATCAGCGATCTGGAGTAGAAAAATAAGGCTGGAACTGTACGAGATTAAGGACGGAGGGAATTCCCTCCTGGAGAAGGGAAAGCCCGGCTGTGGCTGAGCCCAGGCTGGACTCGGAGTGTCCGTTCCCTCCCGGCGGGCGGGAGCTTGGAGTCATTTTGGATTTAGGACAGAACTCACCAAACAGGGGGCACAGAGGGAAATATCCCCCTTTTCCCTGCTCTGCTCCCTCACACCGGGAGGGGGTGACATCCAAGGGGTCACCTGTGCCCTGGGATGCCGGGTCAGGAGCCCTGGACACAGTGGGAGGACACAGGAGCTTTTCCCAGGATCCGGGAAAGCCGCGGCGGGCGCACACGGGGGGGTTTCCATTAGTGTTAAAAACGTGGGATTTTCCCGATTCTGTTTAAAAGGCAAGTGATGGCAGACTGAAAACAAGGAATGGCGAGATTCCTGCAACCAAGGAATGGAAACGGAGCAGCTCTGCCCATCCCAGCCCCCCGGTATCCCGGGAGGAATCCCCTTCCCTGGGTACCAGCCACGCTCTGCTCCTCTCCCTGTCTCTGAGCCCCACTCCGGCAGCTCCCGGTGCCTTGGGAGCCAGTGCCAGCCCTGGGAATTCCATCTGCCTCTGGAGAGCAGCCAGGGAAGCTCCCAGTGTCCTGCCTGCACCAGTGACTCCCACCAGCAGCCCCAGTTTGGGCTGCAGGGATTCTCCCTCCAACTGGACCACGACAGCACGGGGGGGGGGGGTGGATCAGCCGAGTCCAGGGGTCTCCTCCAGCCCCCCTTTCCCATGGGAAGTGCTCCCAGTCCCATGAAGGGATTCGCCCCCTGTGGTTCCCATCCCAGTGGAGGCTCTGGCGTCTCAAACCAAATCCAAAGCTTTGGGGGAACGGGGAAACTCCCAGGATTTCACACCAGGTGTGGTTGGTTGGTTGGTTTGGTGTTTTCCTTCTCTTCCCAAAACCAACACCCCTGTTCAGGATAACTGGGAATGGCCACAAACGGTGCCTCTGCCTACGGTGGGAGGCTGGACTTGATGGTCCCAGATTCCAACCTAATTCTGGGATTCTGGGAGCGTTGGCCGCGTTCCAAGGAGCTCCTGAGCCCCGGGATCTGCCCTGTGGACACGGATTGGGTTTGGCAATCCCGGGATCTGTCCCCTTCCCGACAGATCCAGCGGCTGGGGAGCTCCATGGGACTTCCCTGAGCTCCAGGCTCTCTCCCGAGCACACTCCCAGCTCCGTGGCAGGAAGGCTCTCCCGCTCCCCCTCTTCCTGCTCCGTGCTGGGTTATCCCAGTGGGAACACGGTGCTCCCTGTCAAATCCCAGTTCGAGATTCCCAAGGGATGGGAACTGAACTGTGTCTTCTCCTCACCCTCATCTCCCCTAAACCTCACCGATCCCCTCCCCCTGAGCCTCATTCCCTGGGTTCCCTGGAAAGAATTCCACTCGCTGGGAAATCTGCAGGTTTTCGTGGTTTGGGCTGAAACTCCCCAAAAGGCCCATTTTCCCAGATTCTGGATGCCCACCTGGAAGGTCCTTCCCCCCCCCAGCACAGAGACCCCCCAGGAGCAGCCGGGGGGGCTGGTCCCGGCCTCCCCCATCCCTGGGGCTCCCTGACATTCCTCCCGGGATCTGTTCCCCCCCGGGGCCATTCCCTGTTCCAAGCAGAGCCCTGGGATGCAGGGAAGGGCCCCCCCCCTCCAGCCATTCCCAACAGGGATTTTTCCAGCTGTTTTGTTGTCGTTGTTTTTTTTTTTTTTTTTTTTTTTTTTTTTTTTTTGGTACTAATTTTCTACAAAATCTCTCCCACCCGGGCCCCCTCCTCGTTCCCTTCTCCAGAAACGAGAGCAAATTCCTGCTGATTGGAGCCTTAATTGGATGGGAGCGCTCGGAGCCGTGTCCAGCGCCGGGGCCCGGAGCTCCGGCCTCACATCCCGCTGGGAACACCACGACCCCCCCCCGCCTCCTCCTCCCAAATTCCAATATCCCCGTTAAAATCCTCCCCCCCCCTCCCTCCACCCCGGTTTATTCCGAATTCCGATTTGAATTCCGACCCCTCTCCACGTGCAGCCCGTGCCCGGGAACGGACACCCTTCCCTAAAAACCGCTCCCAGATTATTATTATTATTATCTCCGTGTAATTGGTTGTTCTGTGGTTTTGGGTTTTCGTTTTTCGGGAATTTAAGTTCTGTTTGAAGCCAACGTTTAGAGTTTACCCCCGGGCGCAGGTGCAGGTGCTGGAGCTCGGTCTCAGTGGCTGGAGCAGGAGGCCCTTCCGGAGGGATCCGGGGGCGCTGCCGGAGCTATAGGATGGTGCAGGGCTTTTTGTCCTTAAAGGGGTTCTCGGAAGCGGGAACTCCAACCAGCAGCGGGTCGTTCCGGGCATGTTGCTCACAGTAGTTCATGAGCTCGGAAGAGGCTTTCGAGACCTGGAATGTTGGGGGGAAAAGCAGGAGGTGAGCGGGGACATCCCCAGCTCCAGGGAGGGAGCTGACACCCGGCTTTTCCTCACGGGAAATCACAGAGATGGGCAGAGGTAAACAGGGGAACTGGACGTGGAAATGGGGTGTTTTTAAGGTCTGGCACAAATAAAGGGATGAGTGTGGGGAGATAACCCTGGCTGAGAGCGAGAGATTGAAAAGCAGGTGTTACTGCCCTCGTTTTTGAGGGATTTGGGATGAACAGGCAAGGGAAAGGCCTCTTTGAGTGCGGCCTCTGACGTTAAAAATGGAGCTGTGGAAACCCTTGGAAACTGCTCCTCCAGGCTCTGCTCGGTTGGGTTCAAAGCTGGTTTTTGGGAAGGGCTCCAAGGAGGGGGAGAGCCCACAGGGAGCTGCCAGAGGCTCTGGAGACCAACAGATCCCGTTTTTTGTCCAAATGACCTTCAGTCACTGGTGGGACGTGGGGCAAACACAGGACAGAGGTGGAACCAGAGCATGTCGGGAGGCCCAGACCTGCTGCAGAGCCCTGATTTTCCTCCTCCCTGGTGCCAGAGGGGCCAGATCATTCCCAAATCCACCCCTGGCTCATCCCTCCCTTCTCCTCCCCCCTCAGAGTGTCCCACTGAGGCTCTCAGGGGATGTGGAGGTTTCCAGGCCACTCCAGGATCTCCTCACAGGTCCCTCCGAGCTCAGGCCAAGCCGACCTCTCCCCTCTGGGATTGGGGGTAATTAGTGTCTTAAGGGATTAATTGCTTTAAGCACAGCCTTGACCTTGCCCCTGCAGCAAGTTCTGCTCTGGGATCCCAATGTCTGTGCTGAGGGTGTTTGGAATGTTCATTCCCGGGCAGAACTTTAATGCTGAGTTTTGCAAAACGCTCAGAGATTCCCCCCAAAAGCTCCTTGTCTCTGGATCTGCCTTCCCAGGAGACACCAAAGCACAGCAGGAGGGTCCCCACCCCGTGGGGTGGAAGCACAGATGGGAGGGGTTTGCCCAAAACTGCACAGAAAAGGGGTTTTATCCCACTTTTCCTCCTTGCTTTGAGCTTTTGGTTCCTGCTGAAACGTTTAAGGACAGCACAGAACTGCAAGTTCTGAAAAACTGCAAAAAAATCCTAAAAAAACTAAAAAGGGGAGATTCAGCTGAGACACGAGGAGGAAATTCCTCCCTGTGAGGGGGGTGAGGCACTGGAAAGGATTTCCCAGAGCTGCCCCATCCCTGGAAGGGTCCAAGGCCAGGCTGGATGGGACTTGGAGCAACCTGGGCTGGTTCTTTTTTAAACCATGAGGGTTTGTAGCTGTTTTTAGGGCCTTTCCAGGCTCCAGCCAGGCTTTTTAGGGAAGACAAGCTAAATTACAGGTCTTCCCCCAGCAGCCAGTGCTGACTCTCCCGAGGGGAACGAGGGTGGCTCAGCTCCAGGATCCCAGACAGAGGGAGGAGGGGGGAGTGCACTTCCTGACCTCTGGAGCTGGGAGTGCTCCAAAGGCTTTGCTGGGAAAGAGCAACAGGGCTGAGACCCCTCCTAGGAGCTCCTCCAGCTCCTGCTTCCAGACCTGTCACAGAATCCTGGAATGGTTTGGGTTGGAAGCACCTCAAAGCCCATCCAGTCCCACCCCCTGCCCTGGGCAGGGACACCTCCCACTATCCCAGGCTGCTCCAACCTGGCCTTGGACACTCCCAGGGATGGGGCAGCCACAGCTTCCCTGGGCAACCCGTGCCAGGGCCTCCCTGCCCTCCCAGGGAGGAATTCCTTCTGTATATCCAACCTGAATTTCCCCTCTTCCCGTTTGAACCCATCACTCCTTGTCCTGTCACTGCAGTTCCTGACGGAGAGTCCCTCTGCAGCTTCCTCCGGATCCGGGAGGGAATGCTGGAACACTGGAATGCTGCAGCATCCCCACTGGAGACGTCACAGCCCTGCTGGGAGATCCCAAAGCAGCTGCCCAGGGTCCCTTCCCGCTCCCAGGCCCACCTTGATCCTCTCGATCCCGGCCTCGATGCGGAGCTGCTCCACCAGCTTCCGGGCCTGCGCTATGTTGTTAGTTGTTGACATTCTCTGCCATCGGCTCCGGGCCCCAGCACAGGAGAATCCTGCAAAAAAACAGGGGGGAAAACTGGGGTTGGCGCCGTGCACGGGGCTGCTGGGACACCGCCCACCACCCAGGAATCCTGGGAGGGTTGGGAAGGACCTCGAAGCCCCTCCAGTTCCAGGGACACCTCCCACCTCCACCTTGGGAAGGGTCGTGCGCCGCGTCCACCCCGACAGCCACGTGCAAAGGGCTTCCAGGAGCTCTGATGACACCAGTGGAACGTTTCCTGGTTTTGCTTCAAGTTCCCCTTTCCCTGAAGCAGCAAAAACTTTGCCGACGAGAGTGGAAAAATAAGAACCTTTTTCCACAGAAGCAAAGCTCTGCTGGAGCCCCACCCCGAGCTGGGCACCAGGGGGGGCTCCCGGGGTCCTGGGGACCCACCTGCAGCATCCCTGGGTGGGGTTTTGGTGTCCCTGTCACCTGGGGAGGGGCCACCTGCACATGGGGCCGTGTCCGTGGGGTGGTGTCCAACCTGCCCATGGGATCGTGTCCAATCTCTCCATGGGATCATGTCCAATCTGCCCATGGGATCATGTCCAACCTCTCCATGGGATTGTGTCCAACCTGCCCATGGGATCATGTCCAACCTCTCCATGGGATCATGTCCAACCTGCCCATGGGATCATGTCCAACCTGCCCGTGGGGTCGTGTCCGACCTGTCCGTGGGGTCGTGTCCCACGTTCCTGTGGGGCCGTGTCCCTGCATCCCCTGCTGCAGCTGGACACCCTGGCAGGAGCAGGTAGTGATTAAAACACCTCCCTCGAAATGCAGCAGCAGCATCTGCAGGAGTCTGTGCCCAGCCCCAAGCAATGCAGGCCTGTCACGGGGCCGGGCAGCCGCAGCCAGGGCCGGGCACTCCGGGGGCAGCTCCGGCCACGCCGGATCCCCTGGACAGGCACCATTCCCGGGTGGTTTCCTCTGTGACGTCCCAGGGGGGCTCTGCAGAGGTGTCAGCACAGCCCCCTCCTCGCCCTGCCCCAGACCACTCAGTGCCAGGGCAGAGGGTGCAGCTCCCACCTCCCGCCGCCCAGGAGACGGTGCCGGAGGAGGAAGGAGCCAAAGCAAACACGGAGCCGGATCCAGCGGCGCTCCCGGGGCCCTCCAGCCGCCCACCACAGCCCTGCAGTGCCTGCTTTAATTAGAGGCTCCTCCAAAGTCCTCCCCAGGCCCGGCAGCTTCAAAGCTGAGCCTTCCCGGGGGGAGCAGGGCGGGAGCTCCTGCCCCATCCCAAATCCTCGCAGGCTCGGGCTGTCTCGCCCGGGTTTAGACATTAAGGGAGTTTATTCCAGACCACAGGGGCACTCTCAGGGATTATCTGGCTTGGCAGCAGCGTCCAACACGCGCTGAGCTCCTCGATCCCTGAGCAGCGTTTGGAACACGGGGTGATGTGGGATAAACAGGCAGTGCTCCATCAGCATTCCCGATCCAGCACGGGATGATTCCCTGAACTAGCGGGGTTATTCGGAAATCTCCGCCCCTCCAGCCCTGGAAGGCGTTAGTCAGGGTGACACGGGGAGACACAGGGGTGGAACCAAGTCTGGTTCTGTGGAAAACAGGAGAAGGAAGCAGGCTGGTCCCTGGGGGAAGGATCCTCCTCTCCTGCTCCAGCCTGAAGTGCTCCAAAGCAGTGCAGGAGGGATTAGGAGCAGGAAAAGCTCCGTCTCAAAGTCAAGCTCTTTCTAAGTCCGTTCTATGAACTCAAGAGACCTTCCTGCTGCAAGCAGTTCCCCAAAACAATGTGCACCTGGGTAAGGAATTAGCAGCAGCTGGGGGGAAAAATAAATCCAAGCAATTCGTGTTTCCAAGTATTTCATGTTTGCAGCAGCGCAGGATCACCTGCCTGTACTTTCCCAGCTTCCTGTTTATGGAAGGAGGCTGATGAATCAGCCGAGGGAGAGTTACCTCAGGGGACTTCTGGGGGAAGCACAGCCTGTATCCCCGTCCCCATCCCTGTCCCTGCAGCATCCCGGGGAACCCAGCCTGGCTGGAGGAAGGCCAGCGTGGAGAGTCCCACTCCATGGCAGGAATTGCCAAATGAGTGTTTTTAAAGTCCTTGGCAAGGGGGCAGAAGTTTTGTTCCAACTGCTCTGCAGCTCCCCAGCACCCCAGTGGATCCCTGATCCCACAGCAGGACCTGCACTGGGCTCAGGGCACCCGGCCCTGCTCCGGGGCTGCTCCTGGTGGGATCTGCACGGTGGCTCCTGTTCCCAGGGTGAACAATTAACCAGGCAGTCACTGGCACCCGCAGGCCATCGATCCACAGACCCGGCGTGGCTCCCCAGGGCGTCCTCGGGAGGTGGCAAAAGCCAAAGCAAACTTTGGAGATGTCCCTGGGAGCGGGGCGGGACCGACCCGTGAGGTAAAGGAATTTGGAGAGCAGCACTGAGGGGTGTGTGATGTCAGCCAGGGGACACCGGGACCGTCCTGGGTCCGGATGCAGCTCCATAGACCCTTTGTCCACCTTGGAGAACTCGGCGGGCAATGGGATGGGGATGTGTTTGGATGTGTCTGCGGCTGGGCCTGGGCAGGAAGGACACCCGGGCCTCCTGCACACCCTCCTGCCTGCGCTGGCATCTGACTGTGGAGGAATAACCCACACAGCCAGAGCTCCCTCCTGCCAGAGGGGCAAAGCCCGCGGAGTTTGGCCGGGACTCACCTCCCGCTGCCGGCGCCGGGCCAGGGCTGAGCGTTCCCGTGACTCGGCAGAACGGCCCTGCTGAGTCACCAGCACACATCACTCAGCAAAAATAAACCCTCCTGCGCTTCTGCCAGAGCACCCTCTGCCTTCCCGGCTCAGTCAGCCCCCCCTTCTCCCCGGCAGCGCTCCTGGGCTGCCCAGAACGTTCCCGTTTTCGGGAACGGCTCTCGCTGCGTTCCCACCACGTCAGCTCGGTTCTCGCTCTGTCGGAGAGCGATTCCAGGAGGGATGAAGTCGCCAGATCTCGCAGCTCTCCGGGCTGTTATCCCTGTTCCTCTGGCAGCAGAGGGATCTGGCAGATCCCAGACCAGGGCTCGGGGCTGCAGCGAGACCTCCCACCTCTGGGGTGGGATGGTGGATGGAAAATGCTGCAGCACTAAAACCACTGAGATTTAACAGAAATTCAGAGAACACGAGAGCACGGGCAGTGATGGGTCGCCCAGGAGTGTTCCAAGGTCAAGGCCAACACAAACAGCCCTGAGGGAGGTTGTGAAACCCGGACAAGGATCTTGGAGTGCAGGTCAGGGGCACAGTTGGCTCGGGAATGAGGTAAACACAACCCGAGGGACGCTCTGGCTGCAGCACAAACACCCTGGGAACAATCCTGCCTGTTTTAGGAAAAGCACTGCAAGACAGAGTCTCAGGAGTAAAGTCAGGATACATCCTGAAACAATCAGGATTTGCTGTTTTAAACTGTTTTGCATATTATGGACTAAGGGCAGGTCAGGATGCTCATAACCATGTCCTGCACCAGCTCGGTTTGACTCCAGATCAGCCCCAAATCTCCTCTCCTGGGAGAGGGGATCACTCTCCACCACTAAACAAAAGCATTTCAAGGAACACACCGAGTCTCCTGTTCACATCATGTCCCTTCCCAGAGAAGGCTGCTCAGTGTTCCCGAGCAGGTGGGGCTGTGGGAACTCGGGGCTGTGCCGGGTCCGTCCTGCACAGCCCTGACGTCAGGGCAGCACCCACCGGGGTGGCCCCTCCGCCCTCACAGAGCCCCCCTTGTTCCCCAGAGAGCTCTCTCTGCAGCGGGCGGGCTGCCAGAGGCCTCCTTTGGGCTGTTCTCCCGAGGAGAGACAGCCCGAACCCGCGCAGCCCCTGAGTCAGCCGCGTGCCGCAGCAGCGGTGACAGCAGCGGTGACAGCGCCGTGACAGCAGCGGTGACACAGCGCGGGCTCTGACGGGCGGTGACTCAGCAGCGGCTCCGTGCAGGAGCAGCCGCCTCCTCCCGCCGAGCTCTCCGAGCATCCCTGACCTTCCCTTCCCTCCCCTCCGCTTCCCAGCCCCGCGCCCGCGGCGCTCCCGGGATGCAGGGCTGGGCGGGATGCAGGGCTGGGAGGGATGCAGGGCTCCCGGGATGCAGGACTCAGTGGGATGCAGGGCTCAGCGGGATGCAGGGCTCAGCAGGATGCAGGGCTCAGCGGGATGCAGGGCTCAGGGGGATGCAGGGCTCCCGGGATGCAGGGCTCAGCAGGATGCAGGGGTCCCAGGATGCAGGGCTCTCGGGATGCAGGGCTCAGCAGGATGCAGGGGTCCCAGGATGCAGGGCTCCCGGGATGCAGGGCTCAGCAGGATGCAGGGCTCCCGGGATGCAGGGCTCTCGGGATGCAGGGCTCAGTGGGATGCAGGGCTCAGCGGGATGCAGGGCTCAGCGGGATGCAGGGCTCCCGGGATGCAGGGCTCAGCGGGATGCAGGGCTCCCGGGATGCAGGGCTCAGCGGGATGCAGGACTCCCGGGATGCAGGGCTCAGCGGGATGCAGGACTCCCGGGATGCAGGGCTCGGTGGGATGCAGGGCTCGGTGGGATGCAGCGCTCCCGGGATGCAGGGCTCCCGGGATGCAGGGCGGGGTGCGGGAGCCCGGCCCTGCCCCCGGCCCGGCACCGAAACGGCGGCCCCGGATGCCGAAACTGGCCCCGGGCCGGCGGGCCTGCCCCGGCCTGCTCTGCCCGACAGCCGCTCATCCATCCCCGCCTGGCACCGGCCCCGTTCCCTTCCAGCCGCCGCTGCCACCTTCCCGCTCCGGCCCCGCGGCGGGAGCGGTGACGGCACGGCACAAACACGCGCTGATCCCTCCCGAGCCGGGATTCCTCCCATACTTCTCATAGCTGGGAGCCGCCACTCCTTGCAGGGCGAACAAACACCGAGCACCTGAGTAACTGCCCGAGTTACGCCGCTTTTGTCTTCCTTCCCCCCCCCCCCCGCTCAAAATGTGGGATCGGGGCTTGTGGATGTCCCCGTGGGAAGCGCCGGGAGAGCAGCCGCATCCTGGGATGAGGGAGCGGGATGCTCCTCGCT